CATTTAGAAGTTTCTCTCCGAGTTGTCGGCGAGAACGGGGGCTGGCGTCGCGATATGGCTGCATATCGTCTACGCTGGAAAATCTCGGCCGACGGATTCGTTTCAATCTCTATTTCCGCCGTGCCGTCGCACAAATTAATTCTACGCGCCGCTAGCAAAAATTCGAACGGTTTGTCACCGACGCGAGTACGCGCGACACGTCCACCGCGTCTGGCGTAACATCAATTTATGACGTATGCGCGCGCTAACGGTCGGCTAATTGTGGACGCCACCCACTCTATCTCGACGACCAATATACGTCGCGTGGGCGACCTAGCACCTGCCAGTCGCCCTCACACGCGGCCTCCAAGTCACGTTAATCGCAAAGGAACCCGTCAACGTGCAACTGTCAACGAACGCGACTGCCTCCTTTCTCAATGGACTATCCGAAAATACGAGCGGCCGCTTGTCATTCTTGCGACAAAGTACAATGAAAATGAATCGCGCCGTACCGTTCGTCATTTAACATTCTCTTGTTATACGTACGTATGCGCGTAACGAGAAAGTGTCCGAAATGCCAAATATGCCAACGCACGAATGCACTCGCTGTTGCAAAAACACGTCCGTAAATAGATTAATGCCTGAAGCCTGAGAAATGTTCACAAACGAGATGTCGTATTTTAAAACACGACGAGTGTTTCAATGTAACTCAAAGTACGTTACAGCTGCGTAGAATACACGGCAGTAGATGAAAATTGAAAATGCAAAGTTTCAAAAGAAGACAAAAATTGTTTCAAAAATATCTCCAAAAATACAAGAGAGTTTTAGCTTATTTTTTTTAGCCTTTCACTGTGATATTTGTCTAGGAATAATAATCGGAGCAAAATAGCATATTCGCGACGCAATATTCCATTTTAAATGGATAATACAACGTTTTAAGCTCATTACATCATAGAGAGAGAATCTATTCATTATTAAATTCTTTTAACGAGAGAGATCACTGATACGACTGAATTCGACGAATTCGAATCAATCGCGATGAACGATATAATCCTCCGCGTTAATGCCGCTAATCGATATTCGAGGGATCGATGCGGCATTTGATCGTTATAATGAAAAGCATTACTAAGCGATTTGTCGCATATATATAATTCTAAATATCGCTTAAGTATCTCACGGTGTGTGTGTGTGTGTGTGTGTGTGTGTGTGTGTGTGTATGCACATGTGTCTGGATATTACATTAAACCGCGACTTCTCAACTATTTCGGGATTCAGAATTGTGTTTGCACGAAGTGTAACATGACATGTAATATTGGCGCTTCCCGTTTACAGTCCCAGTAATCAGCAGTCACGTAGATAGTACACTGAGAGAGAAGCGTTTGACTATATTTACTATATAATTGAATGGTAAAATAATTATAGTTTAAAACTCCATTTTTATATAGTTAGGAGAGAGTGAAGGGAATTATGAACACGGGGTAAACACTAATGATACTATTACAGTATATTAGAGTAGTAACAACCTCTCATTTCTCGCATCCAATGATAGTCCGATATACACTTAGTGCCGCACTATATTACACTATATGGCCACATAGAACGCATACGCTGTTTAAGGTAAATATTACTAAGGTAACCAGACCCTATATGAGCTACCTAAGTTTTGCGATTTTTTCCAATTTTTTGCTGAGTCTAAAATTAAAAAACTGATAGTCAAATTCAAAAGAGGAAACATATTGAATATTAAAAAATATGTACGAAACATTTTCAAATATTTACATAAACGCAGTAAAGATTTCAAGAAAAAGTAGTATATCTCCCTCTTTTTCATTAAAAAAAATGTTAGAGAAATGGAAAATTAAATAATCTAACATTACCTTAATTTGTAATAAATATATAGAATATACAGGGTGTTTCCAAATTAAATGGCAAAACTTCGGGAGCGTGTAGAGGAGTAAAAAACTAAGAAAAAAAGTCCTATAGACATATGCTC